TGACGGACATGCCTAAATCGACTCAGAAAGTGATTCTATGCGTATTCTCTAAAGGAACCAAGTGTCTATCTCCTTTCCTTTTGCCTGTTACAAACCTATGCACAAAGACATAATACCCTGTACCACAGTGTGGTGAAGGGTATAAAAATCCAATCCATCGATGTTTTAATTTCTTTGTTTATTAAGTCATTAGCAACAATGTATATAATTGTCTGGTTTGAGCTGGGATTTCCCAAATTTATGAGCGCAATTGCCGAATATTCCTTATCTTGACTATTCATGTTTTTTTTCTAAAAGCTGTCGGAAGGTTACATTATTATCACATTTCTAATATATTAAATGTGCCCATGATTTTAAAAGTGGTATAAGTCAAAAATTGTTCCAAAAGTGTTTTTTTGGAACGATTTTTGTTCCAAAAAGTGTTTAAATAGAATCGGATACGAAGACAGGAAAGCTAATTTTGATTATTTTTGGAAATTAGCCAACTTCGAAAAATAGAATCTGTTTCTTTGTGGTTGGATTACAAAACAATTAATAAAACAAAAATGCCCCAGAAATCACAAAGGATATATGAGAAAATGGAGTCTTAAGTTTCATCTATATGTAAGTTTAAGTTCGGAAGTTTCTGGTTGCAAAAATTTTTTTTGGAAATCAAAATCTTTCAAAATATCTAACGGAAGATTAAGCCGTGCTTTAAATTCTGAAACACCTGGAATGGATGATCGTGGCAAAATGGCTAGTTCATGTAGAACAAGTGAAAAAGCGTTAAGTTCGGCCGGGCCGAACTTTGGATACCCTCCACCATAGATATATTGAAATGAAAATATAGCGAACATACGAAAAAATTGACCTATACCGACATTTCTACAAACCGATTATGTAAACAATAATTTTTAATAGAAAATTATACCCTCAACCTTATGGCTAATTAGTGTGTATACCCTATCACACGGTGAAAATGTGCCTCATCGAAATATTGGTTGTAGACCCCATGTTTCTTGGGACCAAAAAAAAATCGAAAGATATTTAGGGACTTTGGTGCACCATTTACTTTAAATCGGTCGAAAATATATATGGGAGCTATATCTAAATCAGGACCGATTTTCTCGAAACTTGGCATACATCATTCTAGGCTCAATTCAATACGTTAGGCCAAATTTCGTGCAAATCGAAGGATATATAGGGACTTTGATGCACCATTTAAATGAAATCGGACGAAACTATATATGGGAGCTATATCTAAATCTGAACCAATTTCCATGAAACTTTGCATATATCATTCTAGACTTAATTTAGTACGCTGTGCCAAATGTCGTGCAAATCGAAAGAGATATAGGAACTTTGGTACACCATTTACCTTAAATCGGACGAAGATATATATGGGAGCTATATCTAAATCTGAACCGATTTTTCCCAATTTCAATAGGGTTCGTCCTTGGGCCAAATAAGTGACCTATGCCAAATTTCATCCAATTCGGATAATAAATACGACCTGTACTTTGTTTACAATTTAACATGGACAGACAGACGGACGGACAGACGGACATGCGTAAATCGACTCAGAAAGTGATTCTATGTATATTCTCAAAAGGAACCATGGGTCTATCTCGTTTCCTTTTGCCTGTTACAAACATATGTACAAAGACATAATACCCTGTACCACAGTGTGGTGAAGGGTATAAAAATGGGGTTATATTCGGACTACGCCTAAAAGGGGTTGACTATTAATAATTTTTGGTAGGTAGATTTGTTTCCATATTCGGCTACAAAATACCAAATTTCAGCGAATTCGGTTGAAAAACGACCTGAAGAACCCCAAAATACCGAAATTTGGCGGGTACCCTTATATGGGAGCTATGCCTAAACGTGGACCGATATATCCCATCTTCGAACTTGACCTGCCTGCAGACAAAAAATAACCCTATGCAAAATTTCAGCACACTATATAAGTTCCTTCGGAAGATAGCGTGATTACAACAGACGGACGGACGGACATGGCAAGATCGTCTTAGAATTTACCCTGATCGAGAATATATATACTTTATAGGATCGGAAGTGAATATTTCGATGAGTTACAAACGGAATGACAAAATTAATATACCCTTCATACTATGGTGGAGGGTATAAAAAATCTAATTATTTGCACGTCCCTGAGCACTATTAGAATTTAATAGAACCATGTAAGATAAGAAACCCATTTTCGGTAGTACAAATGGATCAAAAAGATTTTATTTCCACAAAACAACAAAAACAATCAACGAATAATAGAAAGAAAGACACCAATGGAGAAGTTGTGTCTTGGTTAAAAATGCAATGGATCAGATTTCTAAAAAATGCCCTATATATGATGTTTTGTAAAACTTCCTTAAATGAAAACTTCGAATTCAAAAAGTATTAGACCTCTCCCCCAAAAAATTGAAGACCTAGAATTCCACCAATTTTTCACAAACACTTTATTTCTCTAAATACTAATGAATAATGTTTTTTTTAAATCCACGTCTTGTATGGACCTTTGAAAAATATTTTTAAAAAATCCACGCCTTGAAAATTTGTATACCCTTCAACACACTGTGGTACAGGGTATTATGTGTTTGTGCATATGTTTGTAACAGGCAAAAGAAAACGAGATAGGCACATGGATCTTTTTGAGAATATGCATAGGATCACTTTCTGAGTCGATTTATGCATGTCCGTCCGTCTGTAGATGTTAAATTGTAAACAAAGTACAGGTCGCATTTATGATCCGATTTAGATGAATTTTGGCACAAGTCACTTATTTGTCCCAAAGACGAACCCTATTGAAATTGGGAAAAATCGGTTCAGGTATAGATATAGCTCCCATATATATTTTCGTCTAATATAGGCACCAAAATACCTATATATCTCTCGATTTGCACGAAATTTGGCATAGGGTACTGAATTAGGTCCAGAATGATGTGCGCTAAGTTTGGTAGAAATCGGTTCAAATATAGATATAGCTCCCATACATATTTTCATCCGATTTGTTGTAAATGGTGTACCAAAGTCCCTATATATCTTTCGATTTGCACGAAATTTGATATAGCGTACTGAATAAAGTCTTGAATGATGTGTGCTAAGTTTCGTAGACATCGGTTCAGATATAGATATAACTCCCATACATATTTTCGTCCGATTTTATGTAAATGGTGCACCAAAGTCCCTATATATCATTCGATTTGTACGAAATTTGATATAGCGTACTGAATTAAGTCTTGAATGATGTGTGCTAAGTTTCGTAGACATAGGTTCAGATATAGATATAACTCCCATACATATTTTCGTCCGATTTTATGTAAATGGTGCACCAAAGTTCCTGAAAATCATTTGATTTGCACGAAATTTGGCATTAGGTACTGAATTAGGTCTAGAATGACGTGTGCCAAGTTTTGAGAAAGTCGGACCAGATTTAGATATAGCTCGCATATATATATATATATATATATATATTCGTCCGATTTAAGGTAAATGGTGCACCAAAGTCCCTATATATCATTCGATTTGTACGAAATTTGGCATAGAGTACTGAATTAGGTCTAGAATGACGTGTGTCACGTTTCGAAAAAATCGGGCCAAATTTAGATATAGCTCCCATATATATTTTCATCCGATTTAATGTAAATGGTGCACCAAAGTCCCTATAGATCTTTCGATTTGCACGAAATTTGACATAGCGTACTGAATTAAGTCTAGAATGATGTGTGTGATGTGAAAATCGGTTCAGATTTAGATATAGCTCCCATATATATTTTCATCCGATTTAAGGTAAATGATACACCAAAGTCCCTACATATCTTTTGATTTGCTCGAAAAGTGGCACAGCATACTGAATTGGGTCTAGAATGATGTGTGCTTAGTTTCGTAAAAATCGGTTTAGATATATCTCCCATATATAATTTCATCCGATTTAAGGTGAATGGTTCACCAAAGACCCTATATTTACTCGATTTGCACGAAAATTGCCACAGCATACTGAATTGAGTCTAGAATGATGTGTGCTATGTTTCGTAGACAACGGTTCCGAATTAGATATAGCTCCCATATATACTTTCGTCCGATTTTAAGTAAATTGTGCACCAAAGACCCGATTAACACAAAATTGTGCACAACGTACAGAAGTTAAATTTACCTAGCGTATGAAATTTTTTTTTTCTAAAATTGGTTCAGACTTGGGTAGAGCTCCCATATATATTTTCTCTCGATAAATGATGCACCAATAACTCAAAATGTGACGGATATGCACAAAACATACTGAAATTAGTATGAATTAACCTGTGAGAAATTTCGATGAAATCGGTTTAGATTTCGATATATATATATATATATATATATAGTAAATGGTGCATCAAACCCTTCAGGTTTTTAGATATTTATCAAAAAAGATCAATGGGTGTCCGAATTATATTTGCTTTAAATTGATTTACATATTTTTTCCCATTAAAAGAAGCAAATCTTTATCTGACCAAATGAAAAATTTAGTATGGTACATCTGTTGAATGTACCCAAAGTGGTGAAGGATAGTGTCGGCCCCGTCCGACTTTACTGCTTTCCTTAATTGAAATTTTGATCCTTATCATGAAAAATTGGGAAATTTTGAAAAATATTTGATTTTTTTTTAAATCCACTTCTTGTATGGACCCTTGAAAAAATATTTTATAAATAAAAAATCCACGCCTCCTGTGGACCCTTGAAGAAATATTTTATAAAAAACACACTCCAAATAAATCATTCGCATTAAATGATAACAACATAAAAATTAATTCTATGGAAAATTATTTAATAATGGGTTTTCCCATTTGAGATAAGTACTATTGGTGGCATTCTTTGTTTCGAAGAGTTTTCGACAGACCATCTCTTTGCTGATAAGAGATTCCCATGACAAAGATCAATTCAATATAAATTGAAACAACCTGCAGTAGCTGGTCAGTCGTCAAAGTCATCTCAACTAGGAATTCAGAAGATTTTGTAAAATAAGTCCGAATATGCGGATTTTGGATATTTGTCTAATTTTAATAGTGGCTGTTGTAATGAAGGTTAGAACATTATTTTTTCGACTCCAAATGTTATTGAACCGGAGTATTATTTATTCCGCAGCCCAACAATGCCAAACCCTTGGAAACTGGTGAAGTGAAGACCACAGATGCCTCTCACTTGACGGTTGAACAATTGAAGGAATCCAAACGATTCAAGCTTCTGGAATTTGCCTATGAAAATTTGTGGAAAACACTATGGAACGAGGAGGTTTTCACAACGATAAATGATTTTTTGCAGAATCTTAAGGAATGGACCAAAGATGAGACTTTGCAACAATCCGCAATCAATGGGGAGTTTGAAGTAGCCTTAGAAAAATGTATAGGTCAGCTTAAAGACCTCAGAACGGATCCAGGAAATTGTCAAAAGCAGGAAAGTCTAAAATATAACATAGATAAAATGGGTTCCATTTTCGAATCGGCAAATGATACTTTTCCAAGTAATATTTGGGGCTTTGAGCATTTAGCATTTTCGTATAGTTTGGATGAAGTAACGCGTAACTCATACGATCAGTACTTTAAGAAAATCGAGAAGAAAGTTAAGGAATTTATTGCGGAGCTAAATGAAGCGGAAAAACATAAACATGCCGATATTGAAGAGTGGTATGATGAATTTTCCAAGGAAACAGAAAATTTTACACGACATTCATTGATAAAAGATTTTTTTAATCTGTTTCCCAATATGAGGCCATTGGTGGAGAGTAAATGTAAAATTCGCTATTCAACTGGTTTGTCGTTGTATAACTTCGTAGACATATGATACGAATTTTTCATAATTTTACTGAATGTTGACAAATTCAGCTTTCAAAATTTAAATGAAAATATCCTCCTTCGAAATGTACGCACAACACGTGTTCAGTGGCAATAATTGCAAAATGTTTAATATCTTGAAGTTCACAGCCTCTATAATCTATAAATGTAAGTTGTAAATAAAATTAAAAAAAAAATGTTTTTAAAAATTGGTTAAAAAATTTTGTATAAAAAATATAAAAAAATCGTTTTTAAAAAATGAAAAAAAGAAAAAATATTTTAAACCTGTGAGCGGAGCAGTATAGTCGGACAGGGCCGACATCAACTACCACGAAAATCAAACTTTCTGCGGTTCTATAATCTGAGCCTGGGCAATATTTCGTCATATTTGCACCCTTTTCATCGATTATAGATCAACAACTCCACTTTCTTACCCTGGCATATTTTCCAAACTTTTTTTTTTGATGTGAATTTTTACTCTTTAAAATAAAACCTAGACGTAAAGTTCAAAAGTCGGACGGGGCCTACTTAATGACACCCTTCACCACTATGAGTACATGCAAGACATGTGAATATCTACAATATCCTGTAGATATAAAAATTTCGCATACATCAGTCGGGACCTATTTCTCTCTATGTGCAATTCTCTACTCTGTGCAAAATTTTGCTTTAGTCGGACCATTATTGGGAGTTTGGTGCACTATTTACATTAAATCGGACGAAACTATAAATCGGAGCTATATCTAAATCTGAACCGATTTCAACAAAACTTGGCATATAACTATCTAGACCTAATTCAATACTCTGTGCAAAATTTTGTCTCAATCGGATCACTATTGGGAGTTTGGTGCATCAATAAGTTATAATCAGACGAAAATATATATGGGAGCTATATCTAAATCTGAACCGATTTTCTCCAATTTTAACAGGGTTCGTCCTTGGGCCTATTAAGTGACCTGTGCCAAAATTCTTAACAAAAATACATGGACGGACGGACATGCATAAATCGACTCAGAATGTGATTCTATGCATATTCTCAAAAGGAACCATGGGTCTATCTCGATTATTTTTGCCTGTTACAAACATATGCACAAAGACATAATACCCTGTACCACAGTGTGGTGAAGGGTATAAAAAATTGGTCCCTTTAGGTTTTGGTTGATTTGGTTTGATTTGGAATATTGACCGATCATCATCTAAACAGCCGCTCTAGGTATTTGGACAGATCCCCTTCACCTTGTAAAATAGGTGATGTTCTGCATATAATAATTGCATCTAGAGTGACTAGAAAATCTGACAAAATAAAAGTTTTCGGTTTATTGCACCCCCCTGAATGAAATCTCAACTTCAGCGAAAACTATAGGCGTCGTCCGTGATCATAATCGGAACTTCATGTACAATTTCAAAACGATCAGCGCGACATTTCCGTACTCTAATGGAGTAATATTAATATTATGCACATAGTCACCTTTACCTAATTACATATAACTCCCACATCAGAGTACATACAGCCATATAATTGGTATCAATTTGAAGGTCAACAACTCCTTTTGGATATACTACCAAATTCTCGGGTCTCACATCATTCTAGACCTAATTCAGTAGGCTATGCCAAATTTCGTGCAAATCGAAATATAAATAGTGACTTTGGTAGAACATTTGCCTTAAATCTAAATCTAAACCGTTTTTTTTTTCAATTTCAATAGGGTTCGTCCTTGGGCCAAATAAATGAGCTGTGCCCAGTTTCATCCAATTCGAAGCAAAAATGCGACCTGTACTTTGTTTACATTTTAACATCAACAGACGGACAGAGGGACGGATAGACATGCATTAATCGACTTAGAAAGTGATTCTATGCATATTCTCAAAGGGAACCATGTGTCTATCTCGTTTCCTATTGCCTGTTACAAACATATGCACAAAGACATAATACCCTGTACCACAGTGTGGAGCTATATAGGAGCTATATTTAAATCTGGACCGATTTTCTGGAAACTTGACACACATCAATCTAGACATAATTCAGTAGGCTGTGCCAAATTTCGTGCAAATCGAAAAATATATAGGGACTTTGGTACACCATTTACATTAAATCGGACGAAAATATATATGGGAGCTATATCTAAATCTGAACCGATTTTCAGCAAACTTAACACACATCTTTCTAGACTTAATTTAGTACGCTATGGCACATACGGTGTAAATCGAAAAATATATAGGGGTTTTGGTGCAAAATTTTCATTTAATCGGATGAAAATTTAAATGTGAGCTATATTAAAATCTGAACCGATTTTCAGGTTCACCATCATTCTGGTATATCTATATCTAAATCTGGACCGATTGTCTGGAAACTTAACACATATCATTCAAGACCTAATTCAGTACGCTGTGCCAAATTTCGTGCAAATCGAAAGATATTTAGGGACTTTGGTACATCATTTACATCAAATCGGACGAAAATATATATAGGAGCTTTAACTAAATCTGAACCGATTTTTTCCAATTTCAATTGGGTTTGTCCTTGGGCCAAATAAGTGACCTATGCCAAATTTCATCCAATTGGGATCATAAATGCGACCTGTACTTTGTTTACAATTTAAAATCTACAGACGGACAGACAGACATGCATAAATCGATTCTAAGCATATTCTTTGTTTACAATTTAGCATAGACAGACGGACATGCATACATCTATTCTATGTATTTTCTCATAAGGAACCATGTGTCTATCTCGATTATTTTGCCTGTTACAAACATATGCACAAAAACATTACCGCAGTGCGATGAAGGGTATAATACAAATTTTGTAATTTTTCACACAAAAGTCAGAGTCCATTTGATCCGCTACATAATGTCCAATCTTTATCAAAACAGGCATGCTTATTCTTTGGCCCGATCTCCTCCTCCATGTAAAATTTCACGATGTTCTTATTATAACTGTGGCCTCTGGAGCCACCAGAAAAAGTGATAAATATTAAGTATTTCGTCCATTTCATCCATTTCATCCCCGTAAATATTAACCGATCTTTACCGAAAATAATAGGGGTCTTCATTGACCAGAACCCATCCTACATGCAAATGTTCGTGAAGATTGGTCCATAACTGTGGCCCGTATCGTGTTTACAAATTATAATGGGCAGATGGACAGACGTGGAGATGGACGGATATGACGATCGGTATACTTAAAGGTGGGTCTAGGACCAATATTTCGCGGCGTTACAAACTCTTGGGGCTGCACAAAGCTATAATACCCTGACAACATAGTTGTGTAGGGTATAAAAATCCTCGCCTATTGCTGACCCTTGAAAAAATATTAAAAAAGAAAAAAATCCACTCCTGTTGTTGACCCTTGAAAAAATATTTTTATAAAGAATTTTTAAAAATATCTTTCAATATTTTGCAATGCCTCATATAACATGTATATATGTATATATAATATTTTGTATACAAATATGAACAATACTGCATCTGAAACAAAAACAACAACAGCACCATCACCAGCATTTATGTTCATATGAACAACAACGACAATAAGGTGACAGTTGATATTGTCAAAGTTAATGATAACGACGATGTTGATGATGCCGATGACGATGACGATGAGAACGACGTTGACGATGACAACGGCGATATCAATGGTAATGTTGATGGTGACGACAACAACAAATATGTTGTTGTTGTTGATGATGACACTGATGGTCACAAACAATGTCGTCAATGATATGTTGCTGATAATAAACAATATTGAAAGAAAGGCAACAACAACAAAAATGATGTTGCCACTACTGGTCACATCAATGGATGATGATGGTTGACAGTTGATGGCCATTGAGACCACAATACGTTTGGTGACAGCTCACATGTGAAAGCTAGGGCAATGGAGCACTCTCAAATTCGGGAGCAAAGAATCTGCTGAAAATTTTGGGACGCGGCTTCGAACTTTGCTGGAAACCCAATTTTTTAGTTTCTTAAACGTTCCCCAACACGAAATTAAAATTGAAAAATAAAATGGAACAACCCTGGAAGTGACTATTAAACAATGCTACAGTTTTAATAGATTTTACAATGGTTAATATAAAGGAGAGCACAGTGTTCTGATTCCACACCTGTAGTGGGACAAATAAATATTTTTGAGGCGTATAATTTTTAAAAATATTTTTTCAAAGCCCACAACATGGCGTGGATTTTTTAAAAAAATATTTTTTCAAAGGGTCGATACAAGGCGTGGATTTTTTAAAAACATATTTTTTCAAAGGGTCGATACAAGGCGTGGATTTTTTAAAAAAATATTTTTTCAAAGGGTCGATTCAAGGCGTGGATTTTTTAAAAAAATATTTTTTCAAAGGGTCGATACAAGGCGTGGATTTTTTAAAAAAATATTTTTTCAAAGGGTCGATACAAGGCGTGGATTTTTTAAACGAATTTTTTTCAAGAGCCTATACAAGGCGTGGGGGTGGCATAGGGGATGATAGATACCAAGCAAAGGCTCTGATTGGCTTTAACATGGCGATGTCCAGGCTTATCTTGGTCCCTCTTTCATTTCAATTGTGGACGCTGACCTCCCCGCGGTGTCACCTGGGGTAGCTATTTTTCATCACCCGTTGAAATAGTGAGCTAATATGTGCCGCAAGTTCACCCATAAGAACTATAAAAAATGGGTTGAGGCGTCGGATTAGTTGCCCACACTCAGAAAACCCCTCCTACTATGAAAAAGCAAAGAAAAAGAAAACCAAAGGACTACGATCTGCGAATCTGCACTTTGAATGTGTGCACGTTGTACAGAACAGACGCAGTTTTCACTTTGGCGGATGTACGCAGGAAGTACAAAGCCGGAAAACCCCTCCTACTATGAAAAATCAAAGAAAAAGAAAACCAAACCCCCTAATAATGTTGACGACCCCCGCAAACGTATAAAGAACCACGATCTGCGAATCTGTACTTGGAATGTGCGCACGTTGTACAGAACAGGCTCAGTTCTCGCTTTGGCGGATGTACGCAAGAAGTACAAAGCGAATAATATTACCTTACAAGAAATTCGATAGAAAGGGACAGGCGTAAGTAAATCAGACGATTACGCACTCTATTATAGCTGTCATGAAACGAGACATGAATTTGGCTGCGGATTTATGGTCAAGAGGAGAATAAAAGACCTTGTCTCCAGACCTTCACTCCAGTAGATGAGCGAATTGCTATAATTCGCATAAAAAAACGAAGTTCTTCTACAATAGTCTTATTTGCGCCCATGCTCCGACCGCAGACAAAGATGAGCAGACCAGACATATTTTATGAGCGCCTAGAAACAGCATATTACCTTGCCATGACATTAAAATTTTGCTTGGAGATTTTAATGCATAAATCGGAAGGGAAAATATATTTGGCCCCACCGTCGGAAAATTCAGCCTTCATGACAGCAAAAAACATGGTAGTTAGCAGCACCAGATTCAAACATCTCGATATACACAAGGCCACCTGGATTTCTCCTGATCAAGCAACGAGAAATCAAATTGATCATGTTGTGATAGACGGAAAACATTCATACAGTGTAATAGACGTACTACCGAGGAGCGAATATCGATTCGGACCACTACCTTGTGGCAGCCAAGGTTCGCACCCGTCTTAATGTAGCAGCAAAGGTGCGATCTAACACAACACGGAAACTCGAAGTCGAAAAACTGCAAACACAACAGGTAGACGAGGCCTACTCCACTCACTCAACTGCTTGACGAAAGCACCCCTTGTCCCAATAACAGTATAGAAGCACAATGGCAAAGAATTGCCCACTCCCTACAAACTGCAGCCACAGCAACACTTGGGTACCAAAAACCACCACCAAGAAACCCGTGGTACGATCAGGAGTGTCGTAATGCTACTGATATGAAAAACGCAGCATATAGGGTAACCCTGCAGACAGTAGCAACACGTAATGTGATGGAGAATTATCGTGAGAAAAGGAGAGAGGAGAAACGTATTTTCAGAAAAAAATAAAGAACAAGGAAAACGTGAGCGTGAGCAAATCGAGATGTACAGGAGTCAGAATGAAGTTCGAACATTTTACCAACGGGTAAAACGCCAAACCGAAGGCTTTGGTGCAAGGAGGATGTGCCTGCATGTAGAGATGAAAAAGGAAACCTGGTGACAGATACCGACAGCGTGCTGAGGATCTGGAAGGAGCATTTTGATATGGTAGGAGCATTTTGAAGGTGGCGGTGAATAGAAAACCCCAGAACCAATAATAGATAACGGTATACAGTGTATACCACCTAGCCAAGATGAGGTCATAAAAGCAATTAATCGGCTCAAGAACAATAAAGCAGCAGGAGCCGACGAGTTACCAGCCGAACTATTCAAGACTGGTGGTCAGATGCTGGTACGGAGCATGTACCAGCTGATTAGTACAATTTGGCTAGAAGAATGCATGCCCAATGATTGGAACCTCAGCATCCTGTGTCCCGTGCACAAAAAAGGAGACAAGACGATATGTGTCAACTATGGAGGAATAAGTCTCCTTCCCATCGCATATAAAGTGCTATCCAATGTGCTGTGTGAACGACTGAAGCCAATTGTCAATGACATTATTGGACCATACTAATGCGGCTTCAGACCTGGCAAATCTAACATTGAACAGATTTTCACTCTGCGCCAAATCCTGGAAAAAGCCCAAGAAAAACACATCGACACATTCCACCTATTCCTCGACTATAAAGCCGCATTCGACAGCTTTGTCCGTTCAGAGGTGTATTAAGCCATGTCTGCGTTTGACATTCCTGCAAAATTAATATGGCTATGCAGGATAACTTTAACTGGTACAAGATCAGCAGCCCTTCGGAACCATTTAATACTTAACGAGGATTCAGACAAGGTGACAGTTTGTCGCGTGACCTTTTTAACATCCTGCTGGAAAAGGCCATACGAGAGGCAAAGGTGAACAGAAATGGCACTCTGTACACCGAACAGCATAGGTTACTCGCCTAAGCCGATGACATCGACATAATGGATTGAACATTGAGAGCGGTAACAGCCACATTTGAGCAAACTGGGAAGGTGTCTGCCAAAGTGGGTCTGGCAGTAAACGGCAAGAAGACCAAGATAATGGTATCAACGCGCAAGGCGTCCAGTAGACTCGGACCAATTGTGGAACATGTGAACTACAGCTTCGACGTAGTTAAAGATTTTATATACCTTGGTACCGCCATAAATAAAACGTAAGACATCAGTTTTGAAGTTCGGAGAAGGATTGCGATGGCCAACAGATGCTATTATAGTCTATGTAAGTTTAGAAACAAGGCCATCTCCCGCCAGACCCGACTCACACTTTACAAGAAGCTGATACTACCCGTGCTGTTATATGGATCTGAAGCATGGAAAGAAAAATTCTCCGAGAGATCTACGGGTCGATCTGAGTCGACGGTGAATATCAGCGTCGAATGAACCACGAGCTTTACAATTTATACGTATTGAGCTGCAACGATTACGTTGGCTAGGCCATGTTGTGCGAATGAATGGGAATGCCCCAGCCCAGAAGGCATATAAAAGCGAACCAGCTGGAGGTTCACGCAGAAGGGGAAGGCCACGAATAAGATGGAAAGATCAAGTGGAAGATAACATTGCCGAACATGGCCTTTCAAATTGGAGAAACTGCGCAAAAGACCGACGCGCCTAGAAATCTTTTTTAAGCTCGGCTTATGGAACGAAAGTTCTGACACAAGCCAGCTAAGTAATACAAGGCGTAGATTTTTTAAAAATAATTTTTTAGGGGTCTATACGAGGCGTTATTTTTTAAAAATAATTTTTCAAGGGTCTATACAAGGCGTGGATTTCTTAAGAATATTTTTTCAAGGTTCTAAACAAGGCGTGAATTTCTTAAAAAAATATTTTTTCAAGGGTCTATACAAGGCGTGTTTTTTTTTTTAAATATTTTTTCAAAGGACTATACAAGGCGTCGATTTTTTAAAAATAATTCTTCAAGGGTCTATACATGGCGTCGATTTTTTAAAAATAATTTTTCAAGCGTCTATACAAGACGTGGATTTTTTAAAGAATATTTTTTTCAAGGGTCTATACAAGGCGTGGATTTTTTAAAGAATATTTTTTCAACGTTCTTACAAGGCGTGGATTTTTAAAAAATATTTTTTCAACGTTCTTACAAAGCGTGGATTTTTTTTTAATTTTTTGTTTCTTTTAACTGTTTTCTTTCAAATGTCTTTTATAGTTTTTTTAGCAGTTGTAGTAGTTGTTTTACTTGTTAATGTGTGGGTGACATTAACGTTTTTTCTTTCTTTCAATATGAGAATTGTCAGGAATGTTCCCTCCATAGTGAGTGTGGTTGTATGAGGGAGGGAGACCTCCCTCATACAACCACGCTCACTACTTTCCATGCTGCTCTGGATGTCTTTGAATGAAAGTGCATTTAATTAAAACTAGGTCGGGGTTTATGTGCTACGACAACTACCAACTGTCAAGCCAACCATGTGACAGACAAACAAACAACCGTACCGATCCGAAACATACCGACAACATTAAGTTGCCAAAGTGCAGAGCGCTTTTTCCTCGTCGTTTTTCCTCTATTTTCCCACTAACCATTACAATGACAATTGTAATTGCAATTTTTTGCTGTTGTAATTGTGTGGAGACAAACAGCTGCAACAAGCACACAAAAAAAACAACAACAAAACATCAACTATGGCAATTTATTTATATTGCAACATAAAAATAAAGAACTTG